CGAGGAGGACTCTCTGCAGAGCACCCTGCCCAGGGCCAGTGACTGCTTGGCTGGTTGTGGCCACGTGCACTTTGGTTTCCCTCCCCGTGAATCCGTCCATCACCATTGGCAGGGGAGGAAGGAGGGGCAAAGAAAGTGGGGGCAGAGTACGGTGCTCATAAAACGAACCTTTCCTTTCACACGAGCAGCCCATGAAAGCAGCGTCCCATGAGACATATGGGCAGCTCAGCTCTCAGATCCTGCAAGCTTGACGTTTCATCCTGTACCTCTGCTTTTCCGCCTGGTTAATCAGATGGAGACCAGTCAGGCCACATGGGCACGTACCTGGGGCAAACACTTCTTCCCTGGGCAATACCTCGAACTGGGAGTGTTCTTCCACCTGTTCACCACCACCACCAGCTTGGCTCCTGCGGCCTCAATGCAGGAGGCTCAAGCAGAGGCTCCGAAGTGACGGACCCTCGCTCCGACCCCACAGCTGTCCCTGCCACAGCGTCCCCCACTCCTGGGGCTAAGGGGTCCCAAGGAGATGGGACAGCAGAGCAAGAGGGCAGGGGGAGGCTGGCAACACCCTCCCTCCATCCCCCACGAAACCCAGAGCCCCTGTGCTGCTTGCTGTGTCAGCAAAGCCACTTTGTCCCCATGCTTCCGTGGGACGGGGTCACGCAGCGCATCTCGGGGCCATTTACCTACAGCCTGGGCTCAGGCCACGTTTTCACACCTCTTGCCCCGTCTCTGCGTGGGCACCCGGTGTGCAGTGTTGAGGGGACGGGTGGGCAGTGTGGGAATGTCTCACCAAAACCATCAGTGCTTTGGGGGGGGATCCCTTGCCCCGAGCCCCAGGAAATTCCCTTTTCAACCCCTGGCTTTTGTTCATAGTGCTCTTCCCATGCATCTTAAACTTAGATAGACTTCGCAGGTGAGCATCACACACCTCGTGGAGGGATGGATGGATGGATAGGCAGAGAGAGAGACAGACAGACAAATAGATAGATGGATGGAGAGAAGAGATAAATAAGCAAAAGGATGGATGGATGGATGGATGGATGGATAGAATAGGTAGGTAGAGGGATAGGTGGATGGATAGATAGATGGATAGAAAGAATAGATAGGTAGGTAGATAGATATTTTTCAAACATACATGCTAAGAACAGAGTGTTATTCTTCAGTAACACTGTGGGCCCTGTTAAATTCAACTTCCTAGAAAACACAGCTGGGTTTTCGCCATAAGGCGTACCCCAGGAGGTGACGTGGGACACTGCTGTGGGTGGGCTATCTCCCGGGAAAGACCCAGCCTAACGCCAAGGCCCAGATGTTTCCCTTTCACCACCTCTCAGGCCAGTGGTGTGCATGGACCTCTCCGGTTTCGTTCTACCAGGAGAAACGTTTCTCTCCTGCAGTCAGTGCTCACCCCCTCCAGCCTTGCCAGGGCTCACGGACAAGGTCACTTTCCACCCCTCCTTCCCCTAAACCCACAGCCCAAAGCACACGCGCAATTTCTGGAGCAAAATTTTGTGCTTGCAATGCCCTGAGCCAACAAAAGCTAAAAAAACCCACCAACCAAACAGGGTCTCCTGCACACCTTGCCCAGGCAACGGGGTGCAAAGAGAACCCCGGTGAGGCCCACCAAGAAAGGGGTTGGAGTTCGGCTGTGACGCAAGAGTTTATTGCAATCTCTAGTCACAGAGGGCAGGCAGAAATTACGCCGTTACATTTCAGGCATTAATCCGTGTGGAATAGGGTAATAGGAGACACTTTTAAGAAGGGAAGAGC